ATAATTTATTATATTTGTTGTTGTTAGTAAAAGAACTTTTTGTATAGTCTTCTTTTTAAGTTATCCTATTAGATAGATATACTTGTATTCTAATTTTGATGTTGATGTTCATTGAACAAGTTAACAACCATTTGAACTCAGTAGGCCAGTGAATAACGCGTTGGGTGTTTCAGGCAAACGGTACTAGGTACAAATCAATAGTTGAATGTATTCACACCTAGGTAATGAGCTGTGAATAGGATGGAACTTACATCATGGATTTCACTGATAGCTAAAATCCTTTGATTACTCGTAATGTGTAATAAACTATTTTAAAGAATGTTTCAGCTAAATATATCGGTGAGAAAAAAGCTAAAGCGATATCGTGTATTCTATTATAAGAATGTTACTATTCAAAGAATATTAATGATTATCTACTTGTCGTATACACGTTTTGTTTTTGGTTGATTTAAAATATGTAGACATATTTATATTAATAAATTTTTGCCATTTCAAGTCAACGTGTGTAGATTTAGTTATTTACTAGTTACTAATTATAGGTATTTTGTCTTAAAAACTGACATTAAATAGAACAATATAATGACATACATTTCTGTCTCTGAGAATGTCACAAAGAATCTGCAATGCAAATGTTAACCTAGTCTATAAAAATCCAAACGTACAGTTTGTTGATGATGGCCCTGTTACTGACATTTTTAATATTTGCAAATAAAATCACGAGCCTTTCTAAGCAAGACCTCTATTGGAAACTTGAAAGCAATGAACAGTCGTTTTGTTATAGTATCGGACTACTCGGTGGTGCGCATTCACGATCCAAAACGTGCAACTCGAACCTAGAAAACTTGGTTTCGGACGCGAACGCTTAACATCTGAAGCACTGAGCCTGCATCCAACAGTGTAAATGTCTAACTTCAATCAATTCATGATCTTGCACAATCCTTCATCCATTGGTTGTGGTGGATAACTGTCTCACATCCGATATGGATTGAACTTGATTGTTCACAGTTTCTCATTAGCGCTCTTGTAGTTACACCTTGAAGCTAGTCACTAATGAGCACATAATTATTATCAATATGGGGATTTATGGAAATTATTGTACATTTTTAGTGATTTAGAATTTAAACGCTCGCGCTCGAGATCGATGGTCCTCAGTTCGAGTTCTGAGTGTGGAATCGTAAATGAGCACTACCGAGGAGTCCCAAATCAAAATGAAACTGTTCTTCGGTTATTCCATGTATTCTTTGGTGGTCTAGTATGAATGAACTTGTGAATTAAGATTAGGTTTAGGCAGTGGCTATTGGTTTACACTCATACATCAATTAAAAAAGCATTCAATCAGTAATTTGAGAGTTCACACTTAACCCTGGCAGATATTACGTAATTAAAGTTTGTGAAAAATATTTCAAAATGCACAATACCTGGAAATTTTTATGATTTCCTTTCTGTTAAATTTAGCATTCATTGTGTTCAAACTCTTTTGAAAAGAACATTTACATTTAGTTAGCCGTTTTGTTTAATGACAAATTCAATCGTCAATGTGTTGATGGAATATTCAGACATTTGCTTTTTGCAAGGATTCAAACAATGGAATTAAGTGATTAGTATCTGAGAAATCAACAAGTATTTTCAGCTTTAGTCTAAATATTTACCGAAATACGAATCTCTATGTATCAGTAAACTGAGAGAATAATAGTATTTATATAACTGACAAAAAAGCAATCGATTGAAGGGAAATTATTATTCTAATTATATCAGGCGTGAAGTTCATCATATGATAACTATCGAAAATTAAAGCTGAATATCTGGTCAAATAACCTAATATTCAATTTTCACTTTACGTAGTTAGTATAATCTCACCATGTGAATCGGGGCAATGGTTTTTTAATTATGTTTAAATAATCACTTGAGTGTGAAAGTGATTCCGTTGACATAGAACAATAGCGTTTACAGTTTCAACACTATGATGGAACATAATTCGATGATTAGGCTGAACATTCCACTTTCAGTGAGCACTAATGAAATTACTGCAACCACTTACTTAGCAATATGAAGGTTTGACTGTTGTGAAAGATATTGTTAGGTTCTGTACAATTGGTATAATAGAATAAAATCAAATCAACATTGTAGGTTAAGTCACAAATCAAGTAATTATAATCAGAGAAAAACTGAAAGGTACTTTTATTCATTGGTTGATTGAAGGAAATATACACGAAACCATGGACTAAGGTTTCGTTCAAGTTGAAATGTCAGTGAATAGTCTTCCGAACCTTGAAGGAAATAATGTTTAATGAGGAATTCAGACGCTCTCTACCTTATATTGCTGTCAAAGTCGCTAGCACCAAGCTATTTGGGTTGCAGATGATTCACTGTGGTGCTCAGTGGGTAAACTGTTTCATAACCTAATGGTAATTGCCTTCTTAGTACCTAGACAATAGAGACAATCAAATTCTATCAACCACGTTGCAATGTAACCACTAGTAGAAGTGACCACTATCAGCTAAGCCAAAATGTTATTCTAAGACTACTTACTACTCATAGTAACAAACTAATATTAAACAGAGTGCATTCCAATCATGAATCATTTACGTCAACAGACAAATTGCAAACTGGCTGGTGGAATTAAGTATTCCCCGAGAATCAAACAGTAAGAATTTGATTAATCGTAAGTGATTACTTTGCTTAGCTCTGATCGTTGTCGCTATTCCTGACCGTTGTTGCTACCTTGACGTGGTGGTCGGGCTTGCCTATCTTAATGACCCAACCGAGCTATATTGGCTGGAACATATGTTCCTGTAGGTTCTACCATTCCAGGCAGGTCGATTGGAAAACGGTAAGACTAAAAGCAACAAAGCCAAGGTCCGAAGGCGAAGTCGTACCGCTGACTGTACACAGGTGTGAAAGTAGTAAGGTGTTTCCTTCAGAAAACCAGCATAACAGCAATGTTGCCTTCCACAAGGAGGGGTGAGGTTAGAAAAGGTCGACCCTAAAAATGCACACCTCGCCTTATCTCATGGATATCCGTCTCCGGCGGTAAGGTCTCAACAAGTACAGAGTTAACACAAAACCTACTCATGAAAAGGTCGTGTGTGACCGACCCAAGGCAGCTGTCTTTTGGGCACTGCGGTCACGCTCTCATGTCACTATGACCACCTCTAATCCAATTTCCTTTTCAGGTACCTCCAGCAGAACCCTTCCACGGTGTGGGCAACCGGGAAGTGATAACCGTCCTCATACCTCTAACAGCACTCAAGACCACTGTATTCATAATCAACCTCCCTCTTCAATTCCCATTATTCCTCCTACTATTCCTCCTACATCGACTTTCAAACCTAAACTTCCTCTTTTGGTTTTCTACTCAAGTGTCACCACAGCCAACGATTCTAGTGCGCAAAACACTGTCCCAGGTCTACTAAAACCTTGCTCCAAACTACAAATTGGAGCCTTCAACGTTCGCACACTATGCCAAATCGGTCAGCAGGCTTCCTTGGCTAAAACCCTAGAATCTCGTACGATTGATGTATGCTGTGTCTCCTAAACACGCATACAGGATCCTAGTGTGGTCATTCACTTGACCTCACCTCGGCAAAACGGAGAGCCGACAAGATACACCCTCCGTAAATCTGGCGACCTGATGGCTAGTTCTGGTGGACTGGCAGGTGTAAGCATAGCACTAAGCATGAGGGCGGAACAAGTGCTATTAGAATGCATCCCCGTTAATAGTCGTCTATGCGCTGTTTGGCTAAACGGCTCGGTATAAACGGTTATACATAATATGACATTTCAGTATGGAATCAAACATTAATAAAACATTACAAATATAGGATTCATATTACTAGTCAAGGTAACCTTTTCATTCTACCATGAAATCATCAATTATATACTTTGAATGTAAGTTTGAATCAACATTTAAAACTGATTTGGCTACAGTAAATCGCTAAAATAATCACATCTTTGATGATGTACCTTGATTTGGTGTAATATGTCATGCAGCAAATTATTTAATTAATAAATGAAACTTAATCCGCTAGGCTTGAATTTATATATATACACTAGTACAGATACGTATCAATGATTTTTCTTTGTATTTACATCATAAGGTATATTAGGTGAATATATAACTAATGATAATGAGATTATAAGACTTGTAAGCAAATCAGTATTATAAAATGATATCAACTTGAAAACCGAATTCATAACTAGTTGGGTATTCTTATTTCTTCTGCTTTCGTTACACCAAATCATTCCAAAAAATATATCGCTTTCATCTTAATGCAATGATATCAAATATTTTACGTTTTAAAAACTAACATTTATGAATGTCTACAAGTTTTGAAATGTAGCTTGATACTTTATATTTTAATTCAAACTATTTTTTAAGAGTTTTGCTGATAATTGATAAATAGTTTTGACAAGACTGATAGGTCCTGGGTTCGAATCTCACAAGGCAGGATCGTAGATGCGCACTGCTGAGGATTTCCACAATAGGACGAAACGGCCATCCAGTGCTTCTAGGTTTTCCATTGTGGTCTAGCTTCACTTGACTCATGAATTCAATTATTAAATTAATACAATTTTCACAAAACCCATCTCCGATTATGATTCAGTTGTAGTCAAATTAATACTTAAGATCTATTCAGCTTATTTTTATAACATATTTCATAAACATTATGAAATATGATCGACTATAAATGTATTTTTATTTATAATTCTGAAAATTAAACTTTGTTAATTTACTTTTAATTATTCCATGTATTGTAAAATAGAATTAATCACAAACTTTAAACACCCACATTCTACGACCTAGAAACAAAAAACAAACAAAAACTATGCATTTTGTTACACAATAATAATAATAATAATCAAATAATACTACTAAAAAAACATCAGCGTATCACACATGATCTAATTTTATTTTATCTAATAGTAAATCATAATTGATCCATTGAATATACATATACAACTATATAAATATACAAATGAGATATTTTTTAAAGTATTCTCAACAATATAGATATTTCTTATTGAGAATAAAACATATTGAGTATTTTGTGAACAATCAAAATATAAAACATTTTGAAAGATAAATTTTCAAGGAATATTTTAATATTTATACATTATATTATAAAAAAATATGCCATCTAAACAAGAAGTTGATGAATTATTGAAAATGTTTCATGATATAGATAGAAATAAGGACGGTTATATTTCAAGAACAGAATTATTCACGAAGGTTGGTACTAAATCTCTAGATCGACAGAAAGTTCACGTAAGTTAATTGTTATAATATCATATTATTATTTTAAGTATTTAATAATTGTCAGAAGGGGTTTTGTGTATATTTTAGTAATTTCATGAGTTAATTGAAGCTAGATTATCATGGAAAATCCGGAAGCATCGGATGGTCGTTTCGTTCTATTGTGAAATTCTTCAGCAGTGCGCATCTATGATTTAATGATTATCTATAGTTATTATAATTGAGGAAAAAATCAGATTCAATCGGATCACATGCAGATCACTAGTGTCACTGCTTATTATGCTGGAAAGTGAGAGATAATTTTTTTTATTACTATACTGGATAATCTAATAGATAATATGCTTCCTTTGTCATCCAATTAGGCATAAACACAAGGAAAAATTGATTGATTGTTATCTAAGCTATCCAGAGTTAAACATATTCTATCTGGTAATATACGTTTATTGACCATTAACTGAACATTAACCAACCTTATCATTATTTAGTCTTTAGCATTGATCGCATCCTATTCTTTAAGTTTAAATGTAGACACTAGTCTTACTGATTCAGCACTACACACACTATGTTTTAATGTTAGCTGGTTATAAATAGTTGACAGAAAACTCAGGATCTGTATTTCATGCTGGATGTGTGACTGGGAAGTCTAGGTTCGAATGTACTATGGTGTATCAGTTCGCTTAACATTAAGGGCACTCCTTTTTGCCTAGAAATAATTAACGCAAAACATAAGTCCAGTGTTCACTTCTACCTACCTTCAACCAAATAATATTAACATCATGGTAAATGACGAAGTTCAAACAAATTAATAGTTGGTTTTTGGTGTATAATAAGTTTGTTTATTTTATTCAAAGTTAGAGGTATTTCATTTATTTTTAGGCTACTTTGAGTACAGTTAGATTATGGAGCTAATCCACTCATCTCATTGTATGATCCTTATTTTCGCTTAAATAAATATATTAATTCTTTTAAAATAAACAAAAGTTTTTTATCATACACAATTGGTAAAACTTGGTTCAATCCTTATACTCCTTCTGTTACATCTTTATACTGTGGTTTTAGTTAACGTTTTTATAATCTATGCTATAGTAAGAAAGTCATTTATCAAGCGTATTTTTATGTTTGCGAATAAAAGCTATATGAACAATGAAATTACGGTCTTATTCCTTCCATAACTCATGAGAAAACATGCATTTATAAAATAATCCAGAATAATTTAGTGATAGTATCTTTAATTATAAAACGACTTGATGTAAGTGCGGATTTTAATGAGAACAGCAATTTTCTCAATACGACAAAGTGACCATTATAAAAAGTAATTTGCAAAAAAAAGAAGTCCAATATTCTATACCAAATACCTTTCACTAATTAATATCATTTTTCTCCTGATAACATTTAGGCTGAGATTTAGTTCTTATAAAAGCACCGAGATATATTTCACTTCCTACAGTATTACATTTTCTTAAACTGTATATATCTTTTTAAGTGTTCTACTATATGTCACTACAAATAATCGAGTTGGAAGAAAAATCAAATTTTCTCATAATTTATGAGTTTTCATAATTAACATTAGATAAAGAAATGTGTTTAGTAGAAGTAAAATGTTAGAGCTGTTTTAATATGGAATCATAATTTCGTTAATATTGATGCTTCAAAATATTGAAAAACAAATATCTTGTAAGAATAAATAGAAAGCTTTGTTCATTCTCTCATTCTTGACTTAAATACTTGTTTTAGATAATCTAAAATAAACTGATAATTACTTACTTACGCCTGTTCCTCCTCGTAGAGGAGTATAGGCCGCCCACCAGCGTTCTTCATCTAACCCTGTCCTGGGCAATCCCTTTCAGTTGCTACTCATCCTTTTCATAACTGCTTCTTCAGTCTTCCACTCTTCCGCTCCCCTTATGGATTCCAAGTTAGGGCTTGCTTCGTGATGCATTTTGGTAATTTCCACAATGTATGTCCAATCTAATTCTAACATCTTTTCTTAATTTTCTCTTCATCTGGAAGCTTATTTGTCCTCTCCCACAGAAGGCTGTTGCTGATGGTATCCGGACAGCGGATATCGAGTATCTTGTGTGGACAACCATTTATAAATGCTTCTACCTTCTTGGTGATGGTTGTAGTAGTTCCCCACGTTTCAGCTCCGTATAGTGGAACTAACTGTTCTGACGTCCGTATTGAAGATTCTGATTTTGATATAGGTTGAAAGTTGTCTTGAGTTCCATATGTACTTCAACTGTAGGAATGCTACCCTTGATTTACCGATCCTGTCCCTTCGTCTGCATCCGATCCCCCTTGTTTATCGATTATGCTACTCAGACACGTGAATGTTTCCACCTCTTCCAGAGTTTCACCATCAAGTGTGGTCGAGTCGATGTTCTCCGTGTTGTATTTGAGGATCTTGCTTTTTTATTTGTGTATAATGAGGTCTACTGATGCAGAGGCTGCTGCTACACTAGTTGTCTCCATCTGAATTTGTTCGTGTGTACGGGATCGAAGCGCCAGGTTAAATGTGAAGTCCGAGTCGTTTAGTAGCACCCAGACTGTCCATTTTATTCTGTGCTTGTTGTCAGATGTCGAGGTCTTTATAATCCAGTCAACCACCAAAAGGAAAAGAAATTGGGCAGCTTAATCTGACACTATTCTATATCCGGAATGAATATGCAAGCTGTTCTCCTCACACGACTTCCAGTGTATTCTATCGTACAAATTTCTTATGATGTCAACGACATTCTCAAGTACACCACAGTGTCGGAGAATGTTCCATGTGTTTCTCCTATCCACACTCTGAAACGCCTTCCCAAAGTCGAGGGATTTGATGTATGGTGACGAGTTCTACTTGACTGAATGCTCAACGGTGATCCAGAGTGTCACGATTAGGTCTGTGCACGATCGATCCTTACGGAATCCGGCCTGTTGATCTCAAAGTTGGGCGTCTACTGAGTCTTTCATTCGGTTCAGTAACATTGTTGAAAACATTTTCAGCTATTGACAGTAGTGTAATGACTATGTAGCTCTCACATTTGCTCAGAAATCTTTATATTGGTGTCTTGAAGAGGTATCCCCTTCGGTCTATCGGCACTTATTACTTCTCCCAAATCTTCCTGAATAGAACATGGGGCATGTTTGCAGTTACTTCTATATCTGACTTTAGTGATTCGGCTGGTATATTGTCAGGTCCTGCTGCTTTCTCACTCTTGATTTGTATGATGGCCATCCTGATTTCTTCTCTTGTTGATGAAGTAACATGTATAGGAAGGTCTGAGTGTTCCTGTTCGATATCCGGTGGATTCGATGGGGCTGGTCTATTCAAAACTTCTTCAAAGTATTATACTCATATGTTCCTCTGTTCTTGAATCTTGGTGATTGTCTTGTCTTATTTGTCCTTAACCGGTCTCTGGTTAACTGTATTTCCCTTCTAGTTTCTTCGTTGTATCATATAGAAATTTCATATTTTCATCTCTTGCAGCTTATTCCACCGTCGATGACAGTTTTTCCATGTATTTCTGCTCGTTGGCTCTAATTCTCTTCTTCATTTGCTTTATTTCTTCTGTGTACCTAGCTTGTGCCTCGAAGTTGTCCACTCGTGTTCGGTTGTTGTTAATTGCTGTCTTCTTGTTATTCCTTTGTTGAATCTTATCCATAGTTTCCATAGAAATCAATTCATTATGACTATGCTACTTGCGGCCAAGCGAGTCTGACACCTTGAAGTTACTGCTTCTTTGATACACATTCATCCATCCTCCATTGTAGTTTTTTTCTTCTTTGAGTAGATCTTGTGAGGCTTTGAACATGTTGTTGGGAGCTATCTTGAATTCATTAAGTTTGTCATCATTATGATAGAAGGCTGTACTAAATCTTTGTAATCCTGTTTCCACAGTTACCCAGAGCTTCATCAGCTTCAATTTCATCTTGACCACAATCACGTGGTGATGTGAAGCTGTCAGATCCACTCCCGGTTCTTACGTCTGTAATTGTCCTTCTGAACTTTTCAGTGGTGCAAATATGATCTATATGGCTCTCTGTGGTGTGATCAGGTGATACCCATGTAGCTTGTGTATGCGTTTGTGTGGGAATATTAGGCTACCTATAACCAAGTTGTTGAATGCACGTAGGTTTGCAAATCTCTCCACAATCTCGTTTCTCTCTCTCAGTTCATCTCGTCTCATGATATCTTCAAATCCGATGTTGTCTATCCCGACTTTGCCATTTAGATATCTCATCAGGATGGTGAGATCCTTTCCTGGGCACTTCGCTACGATCGATCTCAGTCTCGAGTAGAACTGCTCTTTATCGTTTTTGTTGGAATCATTGGTGGGTGTATAACATTGGATAATATTCATCGTGATTGCCTCCTTCTTTGTTTTGAAGGATGCTTTGATGATTCTGGATCCGTGAGGTTCCCATCCTATCAGTGTATTATGTGTTTCTTTGGGCAGAATTAGAGTACAGCAGCATCTTTCTCGTTCCTAACCTTAACTGTTCAGCTTGGGTCTAATGGGTTTCACTGATTCTGAGAAGCACCAAGTTGTATCTTCTCCTTCGTCGCTATTTGACTGGTCCTCACGGTCTTTCACATTGTACGGACGTTCGATGTACCTATAGAAATTGTTGCCCTGGTTGACTTCTGAAAAATCTCAGCTTTTACCATGAGGCATCGTAATCCCTCCTTCGACTTCCGGGGCAGAGTTTAGATGGTTTAATTTGTTAAATCTGGTTGGCTTTTTTTAATGAGACTTTCTTCTACGGGATGGGGTTGCCGACACCATGCACAACCCTTCTCTTTTACCTGGTCATGGAGCCGGCAGTAATTCTAGAAGAGCTACAGGCGGAGTTTTAAATGATTATATTTATGAAATATTGTGTATTCACTAGATATATGTATTCACATGACATTAATATTTATATATACTACAGATAGAAATATGTTATGGATAGTCCGAATTGTTTTAGAACTTGCTAAGATTGCTAAAATTTTAATTTAGATGAGCGTTTTAATAACTGTATAGTTTGAAATTAAGCCTATTGTTGTACGAAGATCATTAAAGTCTTAATAGTCAAATTTATTTATTAATAAAATAAAATTACAACTACATTCTAAATAAAAATAAGTTCAAGTTGAGGATACGAAGAAGAACGATGGATTTATAGCGGTTTTTGTGCATAAGTAAATGAAGATAAAAATATTTAATGTCTGTGGAGACAAAAGTGTAGCAACTTAAAAGAATAGTAGATTTATGAATAGTTCATATTCAAATGGGTTGTATTATATTATTGTAGAAAAAGCACTTCTAAACTTATGACTTAAAACTATGACTTGAAGACATTAGTTTCAAGAGAAAACATTGACTGTCATATTTTAAGAATAATCGTACCTGCAGATTTTATATATGCACGTATCCTTTAGCACACGATGATATTTACAAAGGTTTTCATAGAATATTAATGCTGACTTACAACTTTTATTGTGAGGAATAATCTTACTTGTTATAGAATCTCTTTGATACAGAGGTCTTGGCTGTGGATAAAACAATATAATCATTCTTTTTATCGTCATATGGCTCGGAATATTATGAAAAGCCCTAATGAGGCAACTGTCATAGTGCAGTGCAAAAAAACTTAATGCTTGTGTCTTTTATGGCAATTGGGAATAGCATTTACCATTTAAAGTCAGTATGAGGATTTGTGGAGATTGCAGTATTTTCACAGTTGAATTCATTTGTCATTTCAACCTAGACCACTATTGGAAACTTGAAAGCAATGAACAGTCGTTTTGTTATAGTATCGGACTACTCGGTGGTGCGCATTCACGATCCAAAACGTGCAACTCGAACCTAGAAAACTTGGTTTCGGACGCGAACGCTTAACATCTGAAGCACTGAGCCTGCATCCAACAGTGTAAATGTCTAACTTCAATCAATTCATGATCTTGCACAATCCTTCATCCATTGGTTGTGGTGGATAACTGTCTCACATCCGATATGGATTGAACTTGATTGTTCACAGTTTCTCATTAGCGCTCTTGTAGTTACACCTTGAAGCTAGTCACTAATGAGCACATAATTATTATCAATATGGGGATTTATGGAAATTATTGTACATTTTTAGTGATTTAGAATTTAAACGCTCGCGCTCGAGATCGATGGTCCTCAGTTCGAGTTCTGAGTGTGGAATCGTAAATGAGCACTACCGAGGAGTCCCAAATCAAAATGAAACTGTTCTTCGGTTATTCCATGTATTCTTTGGTGGTCTAGTATGAATGAACTTGTGAATTAAGATTAGGTTTAGGCAGTGGCTATTGGTTTACACTCATACATCAATTAAAAAAGCATTCAATCAGTAATTTGAGAGCTCATAGTTTTAAATTAGTTTTGGCTTCCAAATTTTTTTACATTTGATTTTTTTCGTCAGATAATTAGTTTCATTATATGAATTTATTATTTATTTATTTGAACAAATAAATATTGGTACAAAGGAGCAATGAATACATATGCGCTACATAAGTCACTTGATTTGTATGTGGTCTGTGATACTGTCAGGGTGCCCAGACTGAAGTAGATGGTGTTCGTATGGGGCTAAGCTCGGAGCCTTCGACCTAAAGGTCTGATCCACATCGCAGTAGAGCAACGCCAGAAGACGCAGTCCTATGGTAGCTGGTGATCAACGATTGGTTCATACGACATTTTTTTCTTTCAGGATCCTGGAGCTGATATCCACCATTGGTCTGGAACCATGGCTTTCCAACTCTTCTATGTGGATCATCCATATCCACCAACCCTGTTAAAGAGCCGGACATTCTCTTTTCGTCCTCTGAATTACGTAAACAACACTCCTGGTTCGAGAAGGCAATGAGTAGGACTTCCCTGATAGTGGCTGTATGCGTTTTGCTTTGTGAGAGCATTTCGAGAGGGAAAGCTAACTTTCTCCACCCTCAGCCGTACAAGGGCAGCTTTTGAAAGGATTAAGTTAATTTTCATTTTCAAACGAAATCAGTTATTTTCAAGCTGAACTATATTAAGTTGATACAAAACTATATATCTATAAAACTCATTTAAATGGTCAAGAGTATATGTACAATGTTTCAATATCAAATATTTTGAACCAATATCTACGAAATAAGTGCATATGCAAGTTCAAGGATAATTAACTAAAAATTGTTCTCATTTTTAATAAGGAGTAGTTTATCCGTCTATGATTATATTTGTAATATAGAATACTTTTCAGTCTTATTTATCTTTTCATTTTTCAATAGATTGTTCGCTATATTAACATGAATAGTTCTTGATCTACTATTATGTTCTATTTCTCATAGGTCTAATATAGTTTAATTATAATTTAATTTATTATAATAATCAATATTCTTTGCCTTAAAATCAATAAACTGAGATTAGACAAGAGAAATCATGGTATTAGCCTTTTCTGAAGAAAACACATTATTCTATGACAATGATCTATATATATGTATAAATATAATTAGAATTCCTTTTTTCACTGGTAAAATGTCTGATCATGGTATGATAAAAGTTTAGATACATGAATTAGTTGATGTGATTAAACTAACTTGGTTCGTAAATTTAATACTTGAACAATAAACTACTTTTAGATCATTAATAGTTTACTTTATATGTTAATTAGGTTTTTATACAAACCATTTTAAATAGAGTATCTAAGGCATAATGTTGATTATTTGACAATAACAAAGAATCATCTTGATATGATATGTTTTCAAAACTAGATTACTCTAAATTATATTAAACAACTATGGGATAAAGAAAATAAGTTTATGCTTGTTTGTTGTCACTTTTCTTTATCCAAATGTTTATTTTGTTTTATCTATAGGAACTAATTAAATTGTTTGATATTAATGGTGATGGTTTGATAAGTTTTGGAGAATATAAATTGATATTGGGATTGACAGGTCAATCAATCGAGGGGTAAGTCAAACGATCACCTAAAACTGTAATCATTCTGATGCTATATATGGTCTTTGGTATTTTTGTTCTTCTAAACACTGATGCACATTAATATAAACTTAAGTCATTGAGTTACGCCAACACGGTTACATTGATTTCAGTAAAAGTTTTTTTGTAGTTATGTAGAAACTGTCATCTTATTGGTCAATCTACCTAACTGACTGTTTATAGAATTTTTTCCCCTATAAACATTGAATTTGCTCTCAGATTAAAACTATCACTTGCCTGAAGGTTACTTAAATGACATATTTTAACAATGTCAATATTACTAAGGATTGTTGGGTATTACTTCCAACCTTTTGTCAAAAAAATATGGTACATAACTTTATATAATCACTAGTATCATAGTTACTATTTCAAGTAGATTGATAAAATTCCGTAAGTAAAATACATTTCAAAGCTACTGAATATTAAATCACAATTAAATTAGTTTTACTGTTTTATATCAGTCTAAACATTTCCATGTACGGGAAATGATCTACATTATTAGTATATAGTGTTATTTACAGTTCATTTAATAAGCTATACAAAGTACAATATTACATTATCTTGATTCCTAATATTTAGAATTGATTTGATAGCTCTTTAAGCTAACAAATTATACTTATTTAAATAGTTGGTCTTGTGAATACACCATAATTTTATGAAGAATCATGATTATTGAATTTATTAAGAATAGGCTAGTTAAAGATATGTTGAATGAAACGTGATTGTAGCCTTAGTTTTTAGATAACAGTACAATTATAGATGATTATATTTAGCCATATTTCTACAGATAACTGGTAAGAATAAAAAATAGCCAAATAGCTATTCAGAAGTATGAATAGATAAACTTACACAATGTCGTAAGCCTAAACATAAAGTCACACAATCAGTCAATTAGAAGACACCGTCAAACAACTCAAGGATAGATAAAGTAGACTAGTACACAGACTAAAAGTAAGCTTGCAAATAATATTTAAGAGAATTGCTTATTAAAAAAATTAAAATTTAGGCAAAAAGTGTCAGTCTGCTAATCACATTAGGAAAAATGATCTATCTTAATTTGAAGGAACCCATGTGTTTGACAAGTATATGATATTTGAATAAATATTTAGCAGTAGCTTCAGATTAAAACCATTCAACAAAGTAATAATATCGGAAATGTTTTAGGTGGTCTATGACTTAAAGAACTAAGATAAAACACCTTAAATTTGGTGTATTTATTTCAGTTTGTCAAAGTAAAAAGTGTTCGAGGTTTATTACATTTTTATTATTCCCAAAAATATATCTAGAATATTCTCAAATGTTGCTAGTGATTAAACATTAGGTCAATGTATTTTATGGAATAACGTTACTTTCAAGCAACCTATTATGACTAAATATATAATACCACGTTTCAGTGCAAATATTGAAGAGAGTCTACAAAAAATTAACTTGTTTAATTCTAAGTCATAAATCGGTATCAAATGCAAAACATAACAACATCGATTAGCTACATTTAATTAATGCATAAACTATAAATACAGTTTGAAAAAAACCAGTCAAATATATTTTTTTCATTTTAGTTGGAAACGTCTATTTCGAAAGTTGGATAAAGATGGTTCAGGTACTTTGGATTTTCATGAGATCTGTTCACTATTTGGTGGTGATAATTCTTCTGAAGTGAGAAAATCTGTTCGAAATTACATGAAACGATATGATACTGATCGAGATGGACGACTTAATATTAGAGAATTTTTAACATTCGTTGCAGAACAAGCTGAGCATAGTGCAGAATAATTAATAAACAAAAAATAATTATTTATTAAAGCATAACAGAAATTATATTTGTACAAAAATATTGATAACTTCCCCTTGATGTAAACAAATAAATGATCACTAAAATTGAAGCTAAAATAAGAAATCCATTTTATTTTCTGGTAAATTGGTTAAGAGTACACGAATTTTTGGTTAAATACTTACTGAACATGTTGCTACCTTGACGTGGTGGTCGGGCTTGCCTATCTTAATGACCCAACCGAGCTATATTGGCTGGAACATATGTTCCTGTAGGTTCTACCATTCCAGGCAGGTCGATTGGAAAACGGTAAGACTAAAAGCAACAAAGCCAAGGTCCGAAGGCGAAGTCGTACCGCTGACTGTACACAGGTGTGAAAGTAGTAAGGTGTTTCCTTCAGAAAACCAGCATAACAGCAATGTTGCCTTCCACAAGGAGGGGTGAGGTTAGAAAAGGTCGACCCTAAAAATGCACACCTCGCCTTATCTCATGGATATCCGTCTCCGGCGGTAAGGTCTCAACAAGTACAGAGTTAACACAAAACCTACTCATGAAAAGGTCGTGTGTGACCGACCCAAGGCAGCTGTCTTTTGGGCACTGCGGTCACGCTCTCATGTCACTATGACCACCTCTAATCCAATTTCCTTTTCAGGTACCTCCAGCAGAACCCTTCCACGGTGTGGGCAACCGGGAAGTGATAACCGTCCTCATACCTCTAACAGCACTCAAGACCACTGTATTCATAATCAACCTCCCTCTTCAATTCCCATTATTCCTCCTACTATTCCTCCTACATCGACTTTCAAACCTAAACTTCCTCTTTTGGTTTTCTACTCAAGTGTCACCACAGCCAACGATTCTAGTGCGCAAAACACTGTCCCAGGTCTACTAAAACCTTGCTCCAAACTACAAATTGGAGCCTTCAACGTTCGCACACTATGCCAAATCGGTCAGCAGGCTTCCTTGGCTAAAACCCTAGAATCTCGTACGATTGATGTATGCTGTGTCTCCTAAACACGCATACAGGATCCTAGTGTGGTCATTCACTTGACCTCACCTCGGCAAAACGGAGAGCCGACAAGATACACCCTCCGTAAATCTGGCGACCTGATGGCTAGTTCTGGTGGACTGGCAGGTGTAAGCATAGCACTAAGCATGAGGGCGGAACAAGTGCTATCAGAATGCATCCCCGTTAATAGTCGTCTATGCGCTGTTCGGCCAAACGGCTCCGTAAGAACTCGGAACGATATAGACACACGTCGTTGCCTCTTCGTCGTTTCTGCCTTCTCTTCCACTGACTGCAGTTCGGATGAAGTGAAAGATGAATTTTGCAGAAAACTCTCTGAACTTCTTCAGAAAGCTAAACGTTCAGACATAGTGCTCATAGCAGGTGACTTTAATGCCCTGGTAGGTAGCTTAAACGAAACAGAAAGACATTTAGGAGGATATTTTAGTATTCCGGCACAGCGAACAGATAATGGTGATCGTCTGCTGCAACTGTGCTCAGACAATCGTTTATTTTTAGCAAACACAAATTTTAAGCATAAGGAGAGACATCGTCTAACATGGCGACCCCCTGCACCAAACCAACGATGGACTCAAATAGACCATATTGCCATCAGTCATCGTTGGAGAGGGTCAATAGAAGATTGTCGCTCATTCTGGAGTACCTGTTTGAACTCCGACCATGTCCAAATACGAGCACGCATCTGCTTGCGCCTCACTGGACGCAAAAAAGCCACATTAAGAAGACCCATTAGAACTGAACTGATTAACGAAAAAATCAAATGTAGATTCCAAGAACAACTGAGGTCACACTTGGGTAGTTCTGAAAACTAGGCTGACCCAGATGTTGCTTGGAAAGATATATAATCAGCTGTGGAAATAGCAGTGACATCTATTAGTGATTTAAACCAAAGGGATTCTCGTATACTCATCCTTGAACACGATAAAGAACGAAAACAAATCAGATGTAGGTTAATCAAAAGTCTAAGGAATGATCGTGAGCAGTGGTGGGCAACGAAAGCAAATAAGATGGAAAAGGCGGCGGCTATAGGTAACACCAGACAACTCTTCAGACTCATAAAAGAAACTGGAACTAAAAAGTCAGGTGTAAGTCAGACTATCTCGGAAAAAGTTGATGTTCTTATCTGCTCCCAGTCCAGACGTTCAGAACGATGGACGGAACACTTTAGAGAACAGTTCAGCTGGCCTTCAGCTACTCTACAACTACCCACCATTCCCAGACAGTGTGAATGGAACATTGAAGTAGGTCCCCCAACTCTAGCTGAAGTTCAAAAGGCTATAGCTGATCTGAAACGAGGAAGGGCAGCTGGTCCAGATGGATTGGTTCCAGAGGTCTTTAAGGATGGTGGTCTAGTTTTAGCGATTAGGTTGACTAATATTTTAGCTAAAATCTGGGAGTTAGACGTTATCCCATCTAACTGGTCACAATCACTTATCGTCCCAATATTTAAGAAAGGGTCAAAATCATCCTGTGACAACCACAGAGGGATTAGTTTAACTAATATAATATCTAAAATACTAGCCTCGATAATTATCGAACGCCTAACTAAGACTCGTGAGCTGCGAACACGTGAAAATCAGGCTGGCTTCAGACCTGGTCGTGGCTGCATCGACCACATATTCACCATTCGTCAGGTTCTAGAACACAGGCATACTTATCGACGTCCGACAATGGTGGTCTTCCTTGACCTAAAGGCAGCGTTTGACTCTGTTGACCGAGAGGTTCTATGACAGTGTCTGTCATTGAAAGGCGTACCTCAGATGTACATAAACCTTGTGAAGGCTCTTTACTCGAACACTACTAGTCAAATGAGAGCTTATGGCGAACTGTCATCCGCTTTTGCAACCTCAAGTGGCGTCGGCCAAGGCTGTCCACTTTCTCCATTTTGTTTAACTTCATCATAGATCTACTGATGGAAATAACGCACTCATCGACTTAATTCTCGGGTATTGATCTCCTACCAGGAGGTCCACTTATTGACTTAGAATATGCAGATGACATAGTCCTGTTTGGTAAAGACGCTGATAAAATGCAGAGTCTTTTGGTAGCACTGAGTAACAATGCCAGAATGTTTGGGATGCGCTTCTCTCCCTCCAAATGCAAGTTGTCGCTTCAGGACTGGTCTGCATCAACACCTGAACCAAGGATAGGGAGTGAAGTAGTAGAACGCCTTGACAACTTCACTTACCTTGAAAGTTTGATCAGCCCTAATGAGTTGGTGTGTGACGAGATCTCAGCACGGATTTGAAAAGCTCGTTTGGCTTTTCCCGACTTACGTCACCTATGGCAGAGGCGAGATATCCGTCTCTCAATTAAGGGGCGAGTATACTGCACGGCAGTTCGTTCCGTTCTACTATAAGGCTGTGAAACATGGCCTTTAATAGTAGAAGATACTCGTAAGTTACTAGTATTTGACCACAGGTGCCTCAGAAATATTGCGGGTATCTGCTGGGATCACCGGGTAAGTAATAGTGAGGTTAGACGCAGGGTATTAGGAATGATGGCAAATCAGTTGATGAGGTTATGAACCTTCATCGACTGAGATGGTTGGGCCACGTGCTGCGTATGCCTGAACACCGATTACCACGATGCGCAATGCTCACTGGTGTTAGGGATAATTGGAAGAAAGCTAGGGGCGGCCAAACCAAAACGTGGCATCAGTGCTTGGAGTCACTAACTTCTGTTCTGAGCCATGTTGGATGATTCAGACTGCCTGGTTGGGGTCCGCGTGACTATCGTAACCAATGGTTGGAGACTCTTGGTGACATGGCTCAGAATCGATCACAATGGCGTCGGTGTATACACTCTGTTTTCCTTTAAACTAAGAGATTAAAATCGCTTCATATTTTTCTTTCTACGAACTAATTCTTTCTTCCTGTACTACATCCTTATATGCAATCTTTTATATATTACCACCACTGAATTAACTACTTCTATGAATCCGGTGTTCATCTTGTTGTGCTAATGCGGTATGGCAACTTGGACCGATGCATATATGTGCGTGGTCCTACGTTGCGGCTGACTGACTGATATCCATTTTTTTCAGGAATCAAATAAATTCATTTCACAGCGTTAGAATTTACACAAGAAAATATACCTATGATGTCAGAATAACTCATCTTCAAATCTAACCTTCCTTCAAATCTTAAATGTCTTTTTAAGTTGTAATATACCTACTTATTTACTTGAGCCTGCTACACCCTCGTAGAGGAGTAATGGCTACCCATCGGTATTCTCGAACCAACTTTGTCATGGGCAATCCTTCCCTGCTGTTTTCAATTGCTGTTCATTCTTTTGATATCTGCTCCAAGTCCAATGTGTTTCTTGGTCGTCCTCTTCTCCACTTCCTTTCAGGATTCCAAGTTAGGACTTGCTTCGTAATTCAGTTTGATTATTTACCAAATGTGTGTACTATCCACAACTACAGAAGGTTGTTGTTGATGGAATCTGGCCAACGGAAATCGGGTATCTTGTGTAAACAATCGTTTATATATACTTGTACTACTTTGATGATGGTTGTGTTAGATCTCCAAGTTTCAGTTTCATAAAGTAACACTGTTTTGATGTTCATATTGAAGATTTTGATTTTGATATTGGTTGACAGTTGTTTTGCGTTCCATATGTTCTTCAAATATAGGGATGCTATCCTTGCTTTTCCAGTCCTCGTATTTACGTTTTCATCGGATCCTCATTGTTTACCGATGATGCTGCCCAATTATGTAAAAGTTTGCACCCGTTCCAGAGCTCCGTGTTGTATTTTTGGATCCTGTTTGTAGGATCCAATGCTTCAGTTTGCTTTCTTCTTTGATTCTGTGTATTCCGCATTTCTATTGGCTTTCTCTGCTTTTGTTCAGCTATTATTATTCGCTGTCTTCTTGTTCTTCCTTTCCTGAATCCTGCACAGGATATCGATATACATACATTCCTTATAATGATGCTTATTACAACCCAGAAATTCCTGACACGTTGAACTTAGTGATTCTTTGGTCTCTTTCCAGTTGTCCTCCATGGTAGTTTTTTTCTTCTTTGAGTAGATCTTGTGAGGCTTTGAACATGTTGTTGGGAGCTATCTTGAATTCATTAAGTTTGTCATCATTATGATAGAAGGCTGTACTAAATC